GTTTACAGGGAGGTCCACAGTTTGTTTACAGGGAGGTCTACGTTCTGTTTACAGGGAGGTCTACGTTCTGTTTACTGGGAGGTCTACGGTTTGTTTACAGGGAGGTCTACGTTCTGTTTACAGGGAGGTCTACGTTCTGTTTACAGGGAGGTCTACGGTTTGTTTACAGGGAGGTCTACGTTCTGTTTACAGGGAGCAAACAGACCCAGAGTGAGAACACAAGTCTGAATAATGGAGTGGAAACAAAATGGCCTCTCGGTGTGAGCGTCTCTCCGGGGAAACGAACGGCTGAAGAGGTCGGTCGATATCTTCTGTTTGTGTCAGAGAGGTGTGAATGTTTCAGGTCAGGGTCTCCTGAGAGGCTGAATGTGCCAGAGAAGAAGAGGAAGAAGAGGAAGAAGAGGATCCATATTGATGAGGAGTTTTACATTGATGTTGGAGGAAGAGGAAGTGTGAGGCCTTGTGGGTAAAAACCTTCAGAAGAGACGGTTTAAAGAGATAAAAACACTCGAGGACTGTTAATCAGACACATCGACCAGAAACAGAATTCACTCTCAGCTCTCCAGATTCTCTGTAACACCTTAACAATTCCACCTTAACAGCTCCCAGTCTCTGGTTCAAATGTTTATTGAGTAGAAATATGATACATGGTGGATATAACTTTATATGTTACCAGGATGTGTTTAGCCTAGCTTAGCACAAAGACTGGCAGCAGGGGGAAACTGCTAGCATCAGTATTTTATGTGTATGACACACTCCAACATTACAGCTAGCATATCGCACATAATTATAATCATCATATTAATCAGCATTAAATCAGTTAACAAATGACCCTTCCTAAGTCCCGCCCCTTTTTGCTCTGTGCTCCAATCACAGTTGAGCAAGCCTCAGTCAGCTAATGTTAGCAAAACACTACCTAACTAGCTAACTAAAAATGTATGTAAATTAGTGAGCTAGTTAGCTAGCTAATGTATGTCAATCATTGTAACTACCTAGCTAATGACTGATGTAGATTAGCTAACGATAGCGATCCATGTACTGCAGATTAGTTAAAAAAAAAACACAACAAGACTCTGTTGATAAAAGCAGTGACTGAAGCCAGCAGATGATCATGAATCATAAACTACAAACTGAACAGAAACAAAACTGTGGTTCACTGACGCAGATCATTTAACCACAAACAGCCGGAATATCCGTCTGCACCAGACTCCAGAGACAAAAACACTTATTTTAGTAACATCGTAACTTTATTCAAAGTGGACAGAAACAGAATGAACATGTTTGTCAGTCTATAAATAATTTCTGTGTGAACTGTCAGTCTCATGAATATCAGAGTTAAACATGAGCTTTCATATTAGTTCAGAATAAAAGACAAACAGGAGACAAAAGCCTTTCGGGGAGGTGATGACTTTGAAATGAGAAAGTAGACGCAGGAGCTGCTGGAAGCTGAAGGACGAGGTCTGTTTGGACTGTAAGGACTGTGTGTGGTTTCTGATCGGCTGTTTGAGTAATCATTATCATTATAAATCAGAAATCCTCAAACACTCCACATTTCATTTTAATGGATAAAGAAACACGATGAAAGGATTCGTACATATTTCAACTGTTGAATCACTGAGTGAATCTTTACATTTTCTCTCTGTTGTGCAGCATTTTGTCACTTTAAGATAAATATGAAATATAAATATAAAGAAATAAAAGGGACGTGACCTCTGCGTCCTCAGGCCTTCTGACTGAAACAAACACTGAATGTGAATGCAGAGTTTGAGCCTGCAGGGACGATGAACATTACTGAGAGATTAATGTACTTTAATTACTTTTGTGTCTGTGAAATGACGCCACAACCCTTCTGATACCTCCGCATGTGTGTGTGTGTGTGTGTGTGTGTGTGTGCTCATTCCCAGCCGGCCTCACTTATAATTGATAATGTGAGACTAACGAGCTGTAATTGTACCTGTAGGGAAAGGTTGCTATCACAGCGCTGATGTTTAATGTGACAGTAACTGAATCAAAGTGGTCAGACGTGTTATTAACAACTGCTGTATTATAATTATTATAAATATAATTATGAGAAATGTGAAGTAACATAAACTATAAAAACATACGTCAGCTGCAATATCCTGATGCTAATTTCTGTTAGCCTATCTATGGGAAAGCCTATTATATATCAGCATTGAGCTAGCTGCGTGGTTGTAACAACTACATCAGGAGGAGGTTGTGGTTGTATTGTATTCTGTATTTATATTTTCCAGCATTTGTAGAAAACATTTCTTTATCTTACCTTTATTTAAGCAGATCAGTCAGCTTTGTCCACACGAGTACCCTTACTTCTTATTGACTACCACACCTCAGGTGAGCGTGGTCGTTCCCACCACTGAGGTATTTGTTACACCTCACTATTTCTAAAACCCTGCATACACTAAAAACAGCAGTACTGGTACCTTTCTGGTCCACTTGAGGCGCTGCAGAGATCTAAACTGGGTTCCAGAGATTATTTCTACATTATTTCAATACAGGAACCGGATTCTGACTTTTAAAAACAAGAGACGAAGAACTGAAGGAACATTTTGGTTGTTGTCCAAATCTGGACCAATGGGAGGACGTGGCGAGGACATTGTCCTTCCTGCTCCTTCCTGTAGCGCCACCATGAGGACAAACCGCTCTGGATGAGATGCTGTGAATCTATCGGCCTCGTTGACCTCCCTCACGATTCAATCTGATCGACCTTTGACCTGTGAGGTACAGAGACTGCCTCGTGTCCATCTAATTACAGAGAGGACGGAGGAAGTGACCTACCAATCACAGGTATTGATCGTTTGTGTTTGTAGACACAAACAGAGCAGATTTTATTAGCCTGTTAGCCTGTTAGCACACACTGCAGAGCAGGAACGTTTGTGACAGAAGGACATAAATCAGACTGAAGTATCTGATTGAACACAAGATATGAGTTGGGTTTGTTTCCAGATGAAGAATGAGTGTCTGCAGGGAGGAAGAGAAACAGGGGAAGATCTGTATCCACATACGTTAATAAACGGTCTGATCTTTGTGTCCAATCAGCTCCAGACTGATTTTAAATAATCATCAGTTTGAGTTCAGAGAAGCTCGTAAACTTTGTGAAACACTATAATAAGTTATTTCTTTATTTGTATATATATATATATAGTAATATAAATAGTGTAGATCTGTATCTGTGTATTGATATTTTGGTGCTTTATTGGCACAGAACAGACGTAGGTCTCTCTCTGCCGTCTGAATTTAACCAATAATCTTCATTTTATGATTAAAACCTTAACAATCACTGAATAAAGCAGTTCCACCTTAAACACACTGAATAAAGCAGTTCCACCTTAACAATCACTGAATAAAGCAGTTCCACCTTAACAATCACTGAATAAAGCAGTTCCACCTTAACAATCACTGAATAAAGCAGTTCCACCTTAAACACACTGAATAAAGCAGTTCCACCTTAACAATCACTGAATAAAGCAGTTCCACCTTTACAATCACTGAATAAAGCAGTTCCACCTTAAACACACTGAATAAAGCAGTTCCACCTTAACAATCACTGAATAAAGCAGTTCCACCTTAAACACACTGAATAAAGCAGTTCCACCTTAACAATCACTGCTTCTCCCACGCTGTTGGACAGACAAAGGACGTCCCGGAGGGGCTGCGAGCCGAGCTGCTGCTAACGTTAGCTCAGCTTGTTTCTCTGATAACTTAAGATCCAGACGTCCGATGACTAAAATCCTTCATCCGGTTCAAATCTAGAGTTAAAAAGCACCAAGATCTAAACAGTGGATGGTAACAATGTGGCTTCACACTGGATCGCTTAGCTAGCTTAGCTTGCATAAATGTTATTTGACGTGATAATACCTACAAACAGTATTCAGGGTTATGAGATGGATATTGATTGAAGATACTCGTATTGATCCGGAGACAGAAACTGTTGACCTGCAGATGTTTGATTGGTTATATTTAACGAGACAAAAAGAGAAACTGCAGAACTGATGAGTCCTGTAAAGACTCAACATGATTGTATCTGATCGACCAGCTCACACACACACACACACACACACACACACACACACACACACACACACTCACACACACACACACACACACACACACACACACACACACACACACACACACACACACACACACACACACACACACAGTTTAGTCTCCTGTTAGCTGTGCACTGAGACATCAATCAAACATATTGATTGATGTCTCAGTGCACACACAGGGACCTTCTGTATAATGTAAATACACACACACACACACACACACACACACACACACACACACACATTGATCTGAGCTCCTCTGGGTTCTTTTTGTTCAGTGATTTAGGAGCAGAGTGAGACCTCCCGCCTCCAGCCGCCGCTCTCTTGACCGCTGACTGTGTGTGTGTGTGTGTGTGTGTGTGTGTGTGTGTGTGTGTGTGTGTGTGTGTGTGTGTGTCCCACAGCTTAATGCCGGACTGGGTTTTTAGGGGTTTTTAGGGACTGCATTAAAGATGTCTCAGCAGTCGGTTGGTTTTAGCTCCAGGGTGGTTACCACGGCGACAACAGCACAGATGACAGCAGCCAATCTGTACTTTGGTGTCAAGCCCCGCCCCCTTTTGGGTGGAAGCTGACCCTCTAATTGGAGCTCTTTGCCAATTTAATACCATAGAACAAGAAAACCATATTGCTTTCAGCTGTAAGGAGCCTGCAGCCTGTTTCCAGCCAGCAACAGAAACTGTTACGTCACTGATCAATAATCAGCGTCGTTATATATAAAACTGCACAAATAGTTATTGATGACCACTGATTGTTTTATCTCCACTTCCTGTTACTTTCTGCTGTTTCCAACACTCACTATAGACTGTCTGTCATTAACTAACCTTATGAGGAAGAGTTGGACACAGACACACTGTCACTGACTGTCTGTCATTAACTCCACCTGTGAAGAAGACCGTTTTAAGGACACAGACACCTTTATTTCCACCATCACTGACTGTCTGTCATTAACTAACCTGTGAGGAAGAGTTGGACTACAGACACAACTCACATGACTCAGTACTGTCATTAACTAACCTGTGAGGAAGAGCTGGACACAGACACACTCACTGACTGTCTATCATTAACTAACCTGTGAGGAAGAGCTGGACACAGACACACTCACTGACTGTCTATCATTAACTAACCTGTGAGGAAGAGTTGGACACAGACACACTCACTGACTGTCTGTCATTAACTAACCTGTGAGGAAGAGTTGGACACACACACACTCACTGACTGTCTGTCATTAACTAACCTGTGAGGAAGAGTTGGACACAGACACACTCACTGTCTGTCATTAACTAACCTGTGAGGAAGAGTTGGACACAGACACACTCACTGACTGTCTGTCATTAACTAACCTGTGAGGAAGAGTTGGACACAGACACACTCACTGACTGTCTGTCATTAACTAACCTGTGAGGAAGAGTTGGACACACACACACTCACTGACTGTCTGTCATTAACTGTTTGAATAAACTTAAACTGTTTGACTTTAACCAACTCATCAGGTTTTACATTCAGGTTCAGTTTTATTTTACTTTGATATATTATATATATATAATATTATTCATTAAATATAACTCTGTTTGGAGTTATTATAAAATGAAGGAGAGTCTCTGTACTGTTATTATAATAAAGACATATAATAGAGTTTATTATTATTATACATTAAATCTAAATATTCTTAGAAATAAACAGAAGTGTGACTGAAACAATCAAAGACACAATTATATTTATAAGATTTTAATCTACTGATTATATTTATTAGTTTAGTTCTCAGAACTTATTTCAGACTTTATTTTCCCTCCGGAACAAAATCTGATCCGGAACTGAAAGATTTCTGGATGAAGGTTTTGTACGTTTTGGGGGTTTTGGGGGTCGGACTGTGTGACAGATCTGATCCGGATCCTGGTGCGCGCTCCCTGAGGCTGCCTCCACTTAGCGGGAGCGCGCGGAGCAGCCTGTTTGTCACCGCCCGCCCCGGGGGCTGATTACCAAACGCACCCCCTGAAACACTACCAAGCAAGAGATCCGCTTCCTGCAGCGACCCGCCCCCCATCAGAGAGAGAGAGAGAGAGAGAGGGGAGGAGAGAGAGAGAGAGAGAGAGAGAGAGAGAGAGGGGAGGGGAGGAGAGAGAGAGAGAGAGAGAGAGAGAGAGAGAGTAACGCGGGTTTCTCTCTCCAGCAGCACCTGTGTGACCGCAGAACGAGCCTCCGCTTCCAGCTCCACTTCCTCCGCTGCGGTTCGGTTCAGTTCGGATATTCTCCCCCCTCTCTCTCCCTCTCTCTCTCCCTCTCTCTGGGGGGACACACTTGTCGCAGCGAGCCGTTCAGTTCGGGATCAGTTCGGGGGCTCCTGCGGGGAGAGGAGACCCGGAGGGGAGCATGCCTGCTGCGGTGCCTCTGTGTCAGCTCCGAGTCCGGGTCTTCTCCTGACGCGTGCCGGACTTGTTGCTGCTGGAGGGAAAATACCCCGAACCGAGTCCACCGCGGAACCGGATTCTAACGGATTTAACGGGAGAACCGGAGCTGCTGGAAGAGTTTTTACCGTCCGCAGGAGTTTGTTTCCCATCAAACAAAAACCCGGGTGCGGACAGACTGCACATGTGGATCTGGTTCTGATTCTGGAGCTTTTGCTTTGTTTTTACGCACCGATTTCCGTGCGTAAAATCCTCTTTTCTTCCCGGAGATCCGCGTCGATTCGTGCGTAAATTGTCGGTTGATTAGTTCTGTCTGTTGCCCTTCTGCCCCCCCTGATGCCCCCCCGACCCTGAACCCTCCTCCGACTAGCCTCCGTTCAGCTCCGGGTCCAGCATGGCAGCGGGAGTGGCGGCGTGGCTGCCGTTCGCCCGCGCGGCGGCCATCGGGTGGATGCCGGTGGCCGGCGCGCCGATGCCGGTTCCCCCGCCGGGGAAGCACCGCCGGCAGGAGGGGCTCATCATGCTCAACGTCAGCGGCACCAAGTTCCAGACGTGGCGGGACACCCTGGAGCGGTACCCGGACACCCTGCTGGGCAGCACGGAGCGGGACTTCTTCTTCCACGAGGAGACCAACGAGTACTTCTTCGACCGCGACCCGGACATCTTCCGCCACATCCTGAACTTCTACCGCACCGGGAAGCTGCACTACCCGCGGCAGGAGTGCATCTCCGCGTACGACGAGGAGCTCGCGTTCTTCGGGATCATCCCGGAGATCATCGGGGACTGCTGCTACGAGGAGTACAAGGACCGGCGGCGGGAGAACCAGGAGCGGATCCAGGACGACGAGGACATGGATCAGACCAACGACCTGGTCGCGGCGGACCTGAGCTTCCGGGAGACCATGTGGCGCGCCTTTGAGAACCCGCACACCTCCACCATGGCGCTGGTCTTCTACTACGTCACCGGGTTCTTCATCGCGGTGTCGGTTCTGGCCAACGTGGTGGAGACGGTCCCGTGCGGACCGG